CGACGCTCCCCCCTTTTCCAAGTCGATTTAATTGAGCCGGTAAGTCGAAGGCAATTACGCGACTTCCGTATTTTCAAAGCTCGCTTAGTAACTGATGATAATAATTTACGTCAATAAGTCCATTTAGCCGCCATGTTCTCCAATTAATTTGCATTTGGTGGAAATAAGAGTGAGAGGAAAGCGGACAGGGAAGAATTAATATTTAAGCGCTTTATTCGGTCTTACAATAAACATTTTTATTACATTTGGTGTCAGATTTATCAACACATTTTAATATCTTAGGTCTCTTAACTGAGTACTTGTGCAATGAGAACGGATAGAACAGGAAGCGGAAGGAATTTTAAGTAGGCCTTGGCATTCGAAATGAGATCTGTGGTAGCTAATGGAGGACTCAAGCCATGTTTTAATCTTGCCTTAAATAAGGCATTCGTGTTTTTAGTGCCTGCCGGCCGTTTCTGCGGGAAGGTGAGGAGAATTGTAAACCAGAGCGTCGCGTCGATCAGCAGTCGAAAGGCCGGATGAGCTTCTGCAGGGAACTTGAGCCACGCTGCCAATTACCACGCGTGACAATTTATTTCGCCCGCACTAAGTTGGCTCGACTCACGTAGCAGGCGATTGGCTGGCGGTGTCATACTCGCAATGAGAATCAGTCGCCTGATACGGCCAGACGCAGATTGCGGTATAATATTAAAATGGAGCGTAAATAAATATAAAGTCTTCCGTGGAATCATCTGGCGCAGAATAGCAAACAAGATAGCACAAATGCAGGATATCTGTGCTAGCGATCCATGATCTATCATTCGTGTCCATGTCAAGAGTTGCGGAGTGTGCTGAAGTTTGTGTTTCTTTGGTTCGCCCTGATTTGATGTTACCTATTTTGTCGTGTTTGTAAAACAGTTGTTCTAGAATGAACAGTAATGAGGAGAGAAGGTTGAAAGTTTAGGGCATTAACGTATGAAATATGATTTAGAAGGAGTAGTGGAGAGGTTACGGATATGGCAGGTGTTTGCTGGCAGCGTTTGGATTTGTGATTGGTGACAATGTCACCAGGTTCTTCTTGGACGAAAACGAAAGGAATGAAAAGCTCTCATATTAGTTCAGAGCCATCGACGAATACGGAAGATTAAGGAGACGATGCAGTAAGAATGAATTTCTTCCCGAAGTCCCTAGGCTACCGTGTTGTAACTTACTTAGAACTTACTTATGTGACATATTATTGCAAGAAACACTTTAGAGGTTAGGTATAAGAACTGGCTGATGAATAAGGCCTAATTCATTATGGTAGCCCACAAAAAATGGTTACCGAAATTAAAATGTAATTCTTATATAAGTGAAACTGAAAAATGTATGGTTCTTTCAGGATGAAACTTCAAGTGTCCGATGTTACCCCATTTCGAATTTCTTCGTGCAAGTGGCTGTTGATGGACTCCAGGGGGATGGCAAAGGAAGGGTCGACGTCCTACAGTGTAACCGTCCCCTTTCTTCCACCACACGTCACACTGCTTGTTTAGTATACTCGTAGTCGTAGCCTGGTTTGCTCATATGGTTACAGCTTCTTGACGTGGGATGTGTAAAGATACAGAAAGGGATTGTTGATCATGGTGTGAGGTTGTCGGTGAGCACGAGTTTCCGACTCCCTGGGAATATACGGGAATTAGAAGGTGGAGCAGGTTTCTGCACAAATGGACGACAAAGTCTTTCTGTGTTGCACTGCTCGACGACACTTTATTTTTCCTTAATACGCGCAGGAACATATATATATCCTAAGCACTATTCACGGAGGCAGCTGGATGGCTCGGCTGTTCCTTTGTTCTTTCGTACGTTTGTTAAGAAAAACACCCCCGCTCGACCGAAGGACCAAAACTTTTGAGAGCGCCCCGCAACCACGATCGCGCTTAAATACCCCTGCATTACGTAATTTGTCATTGAATTTGGCTTAAAAGCTGCGACCTGATTCGTTCCTCCACAACGGCGGGAACGCGCCTTAAGCTGAGCTCAAAGTCAATTGGTCCATCGCAATGATGCGATGGTCGTAATGCAGTCATCACCCCGCATCTGGAAGGGATGCACACCATGTGTGGGGTGGCTTAAGTATTTTCTTTGTTGGTTTATGTTTGCCCCCTTTTTTTTTTGTTTCTACTTCAGGCTCCCTTGGGACAGAAGGAAGGCCGAGGAGGGTGACCCGCAAGTGGCCATCTGGGCCACATTCCTTCAACTCAATGTGTTCCACAAAGCCAAAATTAAGCATTCAGTCTAATTTAGGTGAAGTAAGGCGTTCCAGAAATCATGTAATTACACCTTCTTCGTTTTTCTTATAAGCCAGATCAACATGCCGAAGCCTGGTTTACCTTTCATCTCAAGGCTCAGTCCGTTCGGGAATTGAACCACAGACCTGGACTGGCACAACACTCCCCCTTGAGATGAGATGCGCTTTTGACCTACAAACAGCCAGCCTCATCTCAACTGCCCGTGACAGGTCGTTACAATATTTCACTTAACACCAAACCATTCCAACCCTCCTTCTACTGAAACTCAAACCCAAGCAGCTCAGCCAGCTGTTTACTGCTATTGCCACGTGGTATGCGGCTGTTAGGTTAACAGAGTAGGCTGTTACATTTATGCAGCTCAGATCTGGTGTAGCAAAAAGAAACACACACACAAAACATTTGAACATGAAAAATAGCTGAACACTATCATTAATACTAAGAGAAATACAATGAACACCATCTCTTTACACTTTTAAATCTACTCAACATCCATTTAGGTTTGTAAGTACTACTCTATTAAGGTTGGCGTCATCCGCCTACAAGATATACTCAAACTTAACTACTCACTTAATTGATTAACTTTAATTAGAATTATACTAACACATAAGGATATATGTGAATACAATTGAATCACTGGCACAGTGGCAGTAAAATCCATGACCGCAACAAGGCATTCAACACAAGGAAACTGATCTGTCCCAAACAAACGAAAAAAACCTTTCTAGTTCTATAGCAGGTATGCTAACATTCGAGCCTATGCAAAACATGGCATCGGTTTGTGGTCTCTCCTTCAACCCTTGCCTTCCGCTATCTAGTCCTTTATAGCGTCTCCTTCGTCCTTCAAATACGGTTTCAGCGCTAGCTTATTGAACACACCGCGCCTTCTTCCATCTAAACTGGACAGTTCGTATGCCGCAGGCGGGATGACATTAGTAATCTCCCATGGTCCATCATATACCCTGTCGAACTTGCTCGTCTCACCAGCCGCCGCATCCGACACAGGCTGGGGGC